AAATTGGATCTTGATGAAAGTTGTGCTCATACTGGGACAGCTTTTTATTTGTAGTCATTTCAGAAGAGAAGTTTTGAAGATATCTCTGTTGTAAAAGTAGAGGAGAAATTTAGTAGGAAACTCTTTTTAATTTCGAAGTCCATTTTGCGTGGATGGGGAAAGCAAGTTATTTTTAAAGTGACAAGTTGGTTTGGGATATACTTTTTCTTAAGTTTATTAATAATAGTATAGCCAAAAAAGTGAAAATATATAATTCAGATTTTAAGTACTTTGCCAAATTTAGGTCACTTTACATTTATGGGATAAGACAGACTTGAGACTTGTGTGTGGAAGGGATTGAATTTACCCCAGCCAATGGGCTGCAGAAGCCCAGAGCAAAGCTTAGCTGAAGGCTTTTAAGCATCTTGAGGTGACTAGATTCTCTTCAAGATTTAGAAAAACAGTCATTTCCAAAGAAGCAAGCTAAATTTTGCAAACCATAGCTTTGGAATTGATAGTGATAGTGAATGTTGAAATAATTATTTTCTGTAGTTTTCAAGCCTGCCAATATTGTTTTGTCAAATTGTTTTTAACTTCCTTATTTTAAAATCAATATTTTTAAAAGAGCATTATATTGTATTTTTAAGCCCAGAATTAAAATTTTCTATTTGGGCAGATCTAGTTTCTTCTCTTTGCAACAGGCTAAACCATACATAATATATTGTTGGTTTTTTCTCCTTTTTTCTAATCTTTAAATTAAGCTTTAAAAGTATTGGTTAAAGCAGAAATACAGGCCGGGTACAGGGGCTCACGCCTGTAATCCCAGCACTTTGGGAGGCTGAGGGGGGTGGATCACATAAGATCAGGAGTTCAACACCAGTCTGGCCAACATGGCGAAACCCTGTCTCTACTAAAAATACAAAAATTAGCTAGGCTCGGTGGCGTGTGCCTGTTATCCCAGCTACTGGGAAGGCTGAAGCAAGAGAATCAATCGAACCCAGGAGGCGGAGGTTGCAGTGAGCCAAGATCACGCCATTGCACTCCAGCCTGGGCGATACAGGGAGACGTCATCTCAAAATAAAAAGCAGGAATACAAATAAAGTCAAGAAAATCTAGGATATGTGAAGGTACTAGTAAGATTTATACTATAAGGTATAATTCTCTTGTGAACTAAATCTGATGTTTGATTTGGCCTTACTGTAGCAAGCTAATCCCTTTTGTATCTTTTGTTGTTGTTGTTGATTATAACTGACACATAATAGTCATACATGTTTGTGGGATACTGTGTGATACTTTACACGTATATGTTATATAATGATAAAATCGGGATAATTAAGCTAATTCACTTTGAATGTACATGGAAAATATTATTAGGTGTACTTTGAGAGTACACCAAGTCAGTGTAACTGCTGCTTCTTTGGAAAAATAATGAAAAAATGAATTAAAATTTATCAGCTTCTCCCCATCAAAAAAAAAAAACTGTTAGAGATCAAATAGCAGAAATGAATATGATGATGGTAATTACAGTCACCTTAAAAAAAATCCCCTAGATGGCAGGGCGCAGTGGCTTATGCCTATAATCCCAGCACTTTGGGAAACTGAGATGGGCAGAACACCTGAGGTCAGGAGTTCAAGACCAGCCTGGCCAACATGGCGAAACCCTGTCTCTACTAAAAAATACAAAAATTAGCCAGGCACAGTGCACCTGTAATCCCAGCTACTTGGGAGGCTGAAGTAGGGAGAATTGCTTGAACCTGGGAGGTGGAGGTTGCAGTGAGTTGAGATGGCACCACTGCACTCCAGCCTGGGCAACATAGTGAGACTCTGTTTCAGGAAAAAAAAAAAAAAAATTCCCCTACATAAGGAGTCGGATTGGCAGATCCATCTATATCCCCAAATCAACTACGGTCAAGACTCCAATATACTTCTGAACTCTAACAGTTGTTGATTGGTTTGTAATGAACTTTCTTTGGTTATGTAGCATGATTTATTTTGTTCTCCAGTTGAGGTTATTGTTTAACTCAGGCCCCCAGCATCCAAGGTACCTACCTTCCTACATAACAATGGTATCACTTTTAGGATAGTGCTAAAATGTCCCTAAAGCAGTATCACTCAAAGTGTGTTCCTCCACCCAGTCAGTAAACTGTTTGTTCCTGAGCTACAGTGAATTAAAATGCTTGCACTATCATATAAACCAACTACATTGCCAAACACACTATTTAGTTCATCTGTTTATTGCAGCAACTTTCTGGATGAAAGAAGCACATGCATTGATTTACGTTCTGGGGCAAGCCTTTATCTCACTATTCACTGGCACTTCTCTTGCTTTTAATGTTTTCTTTCTGACTTTCAAGGATTTTCACCAAACCCTGGAAAATTATGAGAACATGGGATTTTTGTAAAGTGGTATTTGTAAAGAGCAACCTTATATATTCCACAGGTATAGAATCTCTATTGTCATATTTAGTTATTATTCATTTTGCTTCCTCCTCATGAAACATATTTTTCTGTGTCTATGTGGCACCAACTTGTGCATAAATCTGATCCTTAGGTAGATGAATTAATAACTTGAATAAAGTTGTTGTGCAGTGGTTAACACAGGTTGAACATTCCTAATTTTAAATCTGAAATGCTCCAAAATCCAAAACTTTTTGAGGACTGACATGATGCTCAGACCGTACACAAAAGAAGTGCTCATTGGAGCATTTCAGATTTTGGATTTTTGGATTAGGGATGCTCAGCGTTAAGTATAATGTAAATATTCAAAATTTGAAAAAATTTAAGATCCCAAACACTACTGGTCTCAAGCATTTCAGATAAGTGCTTCTCAGCCTGTATGAATTGTTATTGATAAGCGCTTATTGAAGTACTGTGCCAAGTACTTTACATGCATTCCCATATTTCATCTTTACAACAATGTTACGAGATTAGAATTTTGATCATCCCCTTTTTGGAGATGAAGAAACTAAGGTTCAGAGAAGTTAAATAACCTATCCAGCATCAAAAAGCTAGTCAGTAGTGAAGCAGTGATTCAAATCCTGGCCTCCATACCTTCAGGGCTCTTGCTGTTAGTTAAGAGCCACTAAGTGTGGTGTGGGCAGGGCATCTGGTAGATAAAGGAGTGAAACAAATTTAGATTCTTGCAACATAGTGGACAAAGTCCATGCGGAGTCTCCTTTAACCTCAAATAGAAAAATTGGTTAAAATGGCCGGGCGCGGTGGCTCAAGCCTGTAATCCCAGCACACTTTGGGAGGCCGAGACAGGTGGATCACGAGGTCAGCAGATCAAGACCATCGTGGCTAACACGGTGAAACCCCGTCTCTACTAAAAAAAAGTACAAAAATCTAGCCAGGCGAGGTGGCGGGCGCCTGTAGTCCCAGCTACTCGGGAGGCTGAGGCAGGAGAATGGCGTAAACCCGGGAGGCGGAGCTTGCAGTGAGCTGAGATCCGGCCACTGCACCCCAGCCTGGGTGACAGAGCGAAGACTCTGTCTCAAAAAAAAAAAAGAAAGAAAAATTGGTTAAAATATACTTTTTAAAAAGTCATAATAGAAGTCATAATAGAGATCAAAAGAAAGAGAAATCACCAGATATGAAAAAAGAAGTGGCAGTTCAAAAGAACCAGAGAAGAAAGCTGAAGGCATGGTCTTGGAAGCTGTTTGATTTGGAGAGTCCCTTGTGTTAACGTCCACGCATGCAGGGGCAGTTGATGTGACTAAACCTGTGCAAGCAGGGAGCTAAAACTTAATCCCCATATATTGCTGACCTTCTCAAGGGTTGCCCCTTTTGCAAGAAGGGGACTTGAGAAACTCCACCCATCAAGCTCTTTCCATGTCCTGGTATACTGGTGTGGAGTCCAAATCTACTCTAGTGATGCAGATGCCTGGGGAGATTGTCTAAATGGAAAGATGTACGTTGGCTTGATGAAGCACCTTGACTTCTGTCAATTCTTTTAGCATTGCTAAAAACAAACCCACACTGTGATATAACCTATGGAAGTATTAGAACACTAAAGATGAATAGAACATTTTTAATAGAACCAAAAATGGGAAAAATAAATAACCAGAGGAAATGGTCAAATTGCTATCAAAGGAATAGCAGTTCAACTGACAGCATTCTCTGAGCACCAACGAAGACTAAAACACATTGGAATAACATCTTCAAAATCTGAGAAAAAATAACTATCGACCCGGAATTCTATGCCCTGTTAAAGTGTTATTTTAAGAATGATAATGACATGGCATACACAGTGATAGAAAAGAAAAAAGTGATAGCAACGATAGTCTCACAAACATGTTCAGTGAAACAACCCAGACACAGAGTACCCACCATAGGATTCCATTTATATAAAATTCAAAAAATAGGCTAAATTAATAGGGATAAATGTCTGAATAGTGGAGTGAGTAATGACAAAGAAGGGGCATGAGAGTGTGATGGAAATGTTATAATCTTAATCTGGATGGTATTTGCATGGGTGCTTACATATGCAAAATTCATTGAGCCAAACCTTCTAAATGCATGCACATTATGCACCTCACTATATGTATTTTAAACCTACCCCCAGAAAAAATATATTTTGTTGAAGACGGAGACTGCAATACAGATTTTTTAAGTTTGCTTTTTATTAATACTCACTAAAGAATTGATCAAGATGTATTTCTGTAAGACTGAGATAGAACTCAGAGGATTGGAGTGGGTTTTAACAATAAACAGTAAGAAAAGAAAGTGGTAAATTAGTGGTTCCATTTAAACAAACATTGACTAATTACAATAATAATGACTTTGAGGAGTAGGGGTTAAAACGCAAGATGGAATTAAAGTGCCGGATAACAATCATGGAAGGTGGTAGGTGGTAATTGGAGTTAAAGCATTCTAAGATCCTTTTTTATTCTGAAAGGGTAGAAATATTGATTAACTTTGAGTCAGTTGTAAAAATTTAAAGTAATCTTAGCAAACTAATGCAGGAACAGAAAATCAAATGCCGTATGTTGTCACTTATAATTGGGAGCTAAATGATGAGAACTCATGGACACAAAGAAGGGAACAACAGACACTGGGGCCTGTGAGGGTGGAGGGTGGGAGGAGGGAGAGGAGCAGACAAAATAACGATTGGGTACTAGGCATAATATCTGGGTGGTGAAATAATCTGTACAACAAGCCCTGGTGACATGAGTTTACCTGTATAACCTGCACATGTACCCCTTTTAACCTAAAATAAAAGTTACATATATAATGTGTGTGTGTGTGTATATATATATATGTGTATGTGTGTATGTGTATATGTATAAGATAATCACAAGAACAGTAGAAATAGAATGTCTAACTTTCATATCAGTTAATTGGAAAACAAGAATAAGAAGTTATTGAACCTAACAGTAATCAGGAGAGAAGAAAAACAGAAGCATAGAAAAGACATAGTAATTAGAAAGAAAATAATGGAATAAATAATGGGTGCAATAAAATTAGTAATCATAAGTATAATTTATTAACAGATATAATGTTTAACATCTGTTAGAAGATGGAGATTCCTCCGTGCTATTTATAAGAGACTTTTGAAGCCAAATAACACAAAGTAAAGAGGTAGAAAAAGATAAATCAGCAAGACACTTTAAAAAATGAGAGCTGGACTTAGAGAGTGGGGACATCCTGCTTCGGAGCGGGAATCTTCGTTGCACCAGTGACTAAGGAGAGAATTAAATATGGGTGATGTTGAGAAAGGCAAGAAGATTTTTATTATGAAGTGTTCCCAGTGCCACACCGTTGAAAAGGGAAGCAAGCACAAGATTGGTCCAAATCTCCATGGTCTCTTCGGGCAGAAGACAGGTCAGGCCCCTGGATGCTCTTACACAGCTGCCAGTAAGAACAAAGGCAACACCTGGGGAGAGGATACACTGAAGGAGTATTTGGAGAATCCCAAGAAGTACATCCCTGGAACAGAAATGATCTGTGTCGGCATTAAGAAGAAGGAAGAAAGGGCAGACTTGATAGCTTATCTCAAAAAAGCTACTAATGAGTAATAGTTGGCCACTGCCTTATTTATTATGAAACAAATGTCTCATGACTTTTTTGTGTGTACCATACTTTAATAGATCTCATACACCAGAATTCAGATCATGAATGACGACAGAATATTTTGTTGGGCAGTCCTGATTTAAAACTAAAACTGGCTTGTGGTTAAATGAATATGTTCAGTTTTTGAATTTTAATAGTAATTCCAATTCAGTAAATGCTATCACTGTTTACCCCTTCTAAAGATATGATTAGACTTCATTAGTAATGTTCAACTTTTCACAAAGATGGTGAGTGCCATTTTAAAACTTACTGGAGATTGGTTTTATATTTAGATTTATATAGCTGGTTATGTGAATATATTTAAATACTGGAGAAATTCCTTCACTGTCTCAGAACCAAGGAAGATTCGCCTGTGTTTTGTGTTCATTTGCCTCTTAAAGGCAAGGGTTGAAGATAAATAAAGTAGCAATGTCTAGAGTTTTGGCCTTAACGATGCCAATCTAATTATAATTCCCTGTATTTAAAATGGTTCCTTTTACTTATTGAAAGGCATTTTAGTATTGTTTATGTGTAATATTAAAGATTATTCAACACTTCTCACATCTTATTAATCTATAAGATCACATGCTTTTAAAATAGTAGCAAGTTAAACTTCACTCTTGAATTCTTTATAGTCTAAGTCAAACTAAGTTATAATTTAGGATTGTCTTTAAACAGCCATTCAGAAACATAAAACTGTAGAACTGTGTATTTGTGATTGGGAATGGTGCTTTTGCCAACTTAAAAGGATTAAAGTAGCGGAGATATACACAAATTTTACAATTATGTGTGATTATGAGACTAAAGATAATTAAAAAGAAAACCACAGGAAAAAAAATTGAGAGCTGATAAAAACCACATTACTATCATGCAAAAGAGACTTTAATGTGCAAATAATTTTAAGGAATAATTCATCAGAAAGACATAAAAGTCTTGAGCTTGAACTCTCAGAGTAAGTAAAATTTAATAGAATGACAAGAAGAAATAGACAAATTTATAATAACAATCAGAGATGCTAACATACAAGCCTCGGAAAATGAAATGATCAAAGTTGTGGAAGATTTGAACAGCACTATTAATGAACTTGACCTTTGTGCTATACAAAGATTCCTGCCACAAGTTAGACAATATACATTTCAAGCACAACATACATACATCATTTATAAGAATAGAATCTATACCTTCAGCCAGAAAAGGAGTATCAGTGAAGGGTAAACCAGGCAAAATAGAAGACAACCAGGAGCACTGAGGCTTGTGGCAAACAGGAGAGAATGCACCTTCTTAAGGCAAAGGAAAAATGAAACCATTCTGTAGCCTATGGCTTCTGGTTTGAACGTTCAAAGTGACTGCATTATTGGAAACCATCCAAGCCAACTGCCTGCTGCTGCCTTTCCATCTTGTTGCCCACTCTCTCACCTTTTGACCACTCATTGATACCTGTGTTCAAAGAAGGGAAAGGTGTTATCAGTCATCTTGGAGTCATAAACATTTCTGATTGTGGCGACAGGGCAGCAGGAGAGAGGGGATGAGGAGGAAGAAGAGGCTATTGCCTAAAGTTAGGTTTATGGATTCTGTGATGAATTTTGGGTTATTCATTGTTCCTCATTGTCAGAGGTTCACCTCTAGGTGAGACTGTGTAAAATCTTTCTTTGAAGATACTGAAAGTGGATCAAATAATTTTCTTCCTGGATGAAGATGAGGCTTTATTTATTACTAGAACCCATTTAATAAGCACCTACACTTTGTCACAGCTGAAGGAGCTATGTGACCCTGAGAAGACTTGGACGTAGATTCCCTTTGTGGAGTTGGGTGAGTTCTGACTTTATCAGGAAGATTATAGGCATTTTACTTAGATGTCAAATTGTCTCACCTTCTTTGTCCATGGTTTATGAATAATAGTATTCATTATCATAGTTACAATATTCTAGATATGGTGTATAGCCTCCTAATTTGTTCATCTACAGCATTCTTAACCCCTTATAAATGTTTCATGCCAACCCCTCATTTCGTTAGATTTTAATGTCTCCTCTTTATCTTTTGCTGACCTAGAAATTCTGGAGGCAGCTCCATTTTTAGGCTGATGAAACGCTGCAATCCCTGAAGCGATCTAGCAGTCTCCCATAGGTAACCTCCTTCAAGCTTGAAATGATTCCATTATTACCATGAGTCCCTGCCCTTGAGAACATTTTAGCTGAATGTTTGCTAATTTCCTTTTCCACACTGCCTCTGCACATTAGGTACCAGTCTGTTTCCTAAAATCTTTCGTAATTTTCCTAAGTTAAGGCTTTGATCACCAAATTATGTATCCCATGGGTGTTTTTGGTTGACACAAAAGAAATAAAACAACCTGTCACAGTTAATTTTACAATATAATTAAAGAGCCAAAGCAACTATTGAGACTGGGCATCATCCCCTATCTCTAAGGAATAAATAATACACAGGCTCGTGTTTTTCTGTAAGTGCTAACTATTGGTCCCTTGGCAAAGAATAATAAAGTACAACTGCAGCGGGCCACAAACTGGCCCTGGGCATCAGAATTCTTACTGCAGTGGAAGTTGTCTTTGGCTGCATTTGTGTAAACTCTGACAGGCTGTCCAGCACAAGTGTGACCACAGACTTCCTCCAGTCTAGGTGTGTCAGTGTCTCTCTGGCTTCTTAAACTTGTCCCCAAGACTTCAGTCTTTGGTGTGGACTGAACAAAGATGTAAATGCTGTGGCTTGTTCATGCGACCAAAGGAAACTTGATTTTGTTTTAGATACAGATATATTTGAACTGATTCGATATTTTCTACTTGATATAAGGTGGGGAGACATGTCAATGTGCTAGTAACAGATTTCTCTTCATTATGTTTATATCATTGCTGTGCTTTACGGGTTCCTATGAAAGGCTTCGTTCACAGAATGTGAGTCCCTTGTTGGAAAATTATCTAAATGCTTTTGATATACAAAATACGAAAGTGGTTTGCTTTTCAGTTTTTTTCTTTGTTGTTGCCACCTAACTGCTTCCTCTTTTGGGGTTGATCAGTTTTAGGTTTAGATGAAAACAAATACCTGAGTCATAAACAAATGCTAACATACAAATGGATAATATTCTCATTATATAACTAGCTTATTATAATTCTTTGAATAACACTAAGGCCACAATGGACAAGGAAGCAGAGGACATGATAGTTTCCTAAAGAGAAAATCAGATGGCTAGTATGCATCTGAAAAACTGTTCTACTCACTAGTAATCACAGATGTAAATGAAAGCAACCATGAAGTATCCTTTCTCATTGCTAAAATTCTACTTTAGTTACTTATTTCTAGACATTTTAATTTTAAAAAGGCATTAAATATTTTGATGAATCTTGTTAAATTGATAAAACCTTTTTTATATATTGCCAAAATGTTTGCTAAATGATTATACCAATTATACTACCAACTATGCCAGTATAGAAGGATAGATGGCTGGCTCTCTGCACCCTTATCTGTATTGAGATGATTCATTCTTTGAATGTTGCCAGTGATTAAACAAATTACTGCACAGCTATATGAGATAATACTTGCAGGCATTAAATGTATATTTATGGACATTTTATCTAACACAGAAAATATGCTTATAAAAAGGACAAATGACATTTTAGGTAGCCCCAGCCCCAAAAACTCCCATAGTCAAATAGAATACCAGGGAGGGTGAAGGGTGTGTGGGATCTAGCACCACCAGCCTGGTTATCTATTCCTTCTATTCCCTCTCCACACAGTTTTAAATCTGGGTGAGAATGTTTTAAAACTGGGTGAAATAGCCCAGTGCTATAGCTCGTTTCCTCCCATGCATTGAAAAATGATTGCGCAAATGTTATTAAAACTTATTTCTGTGGTTTAATCATCTACTACTGTTTGGAAGAAACCTGGACCGTCTCCAAGCAAAATGACTTTCTGATGTTGCCATGCTCTTCTCTGCCATGCCTCACTTAGTTTTGAATGCCTGCATTGTGGGAATGTCATCTTCTCAGAACACGTGCAGGACATGGGAATCGTCAGTTGTTCTCTGGCTCTCTTAGCTTAGTCTGTCTCCATGCTATCATCTGTTACGTCTGCGATGAATTCTTAAGAAATAGTCTTGTGAACAGAGCTGATCTTTCTGCAGGTGTTCTTACTACTGAATCAAAATAAATAGAAAAAGCTCTCATAAAAAGACTTATCTTTGGAATCTGAGGACATCACCGTGTGTGTGTGTTTTTTTTTTAACCCTAAAAATATCTGCCATTCTTTGCTATTTTTAAAGTGTGTGCTTATTTGAGAGGCAGTAGCAAAATCTCGCATTCAAAATAATCTTATTTTTAAGGTAGAAAAAAATTAGAACTGATGAAATGTTTTGACTGATGTAGCATAGAGGCACTGATGAAAGCTGTCCTTATGAGTATATCAGATAAGTCTTTGTTGTATAATATTTAAGCTCCTTGTGTGCCGCTGGAAACTTCTGGAGTTTCTCTGGGTGCTGATCATTTTGGAATGGAGATATTGAGGTTTGCAGTTCTCATCATCAAAAACCACTAACGGATCACAAGTGAGTGAGTTGTACCTATATCTAACTTCTTCAAATATAGAATATATGGTGCCTACTAATTGTATAAAGATGTCTTACTGTAAGGAGAATTGGGTGGGTTTTGGAATGTGACACCCCAGGATCAAGTTCTGGGTCTGTTACTTACTAAGTACATGACCTTAATTTACTTAATGCCCCTGAATCTGCTTCTTCACCTGAACTGTGGGAAGAACAATACTCACTTAGTAGACTTGTGAGGATTAAAGATAGTATGTTTCCTGTAGAAGAATCAATGTATGCTATTACCATTAATATTTCCATAGCATTTTATTGATATTGTAAACAGTAGGTATTTGAATATGTTGGTTTTTTTCAATGTCTTTACAATTCACCCGAGTTGAACATGATATACTAGGGGCTCAGTTTCTAGTCTGGATGAGTTTTTCCAGGTGACACACACTTTCTGTTGCCTTTGTGCTCAATTGCATGCCCTGGTGAGATGGTTCAAGGGGGTCCCTGTTGTTTTCTAAGACCT